CCTGGCTTTTCTCTGGAGATGCTTTGCAGGGGGAGGTTGTGAAAGTGAACCAAAATAGACGRAAGAACAGATTGAGACATAAAGCAGTTTAAAAATAAAACACGCAGCCTCACCTTGACCTGAACTATAGATTGCCTTCACTGATTTCTTCACTTTCTGCAGAGACGTTCGATCCTGGTCCAGTGCCTGAAAGGAAATTAAAAATAAAACAKAGAAGATCAGATTAGAATATTTGAAGTGGTTTCATGCTTTAAGAAAAGACTGTAAACTTTCACACCAAAGAGCAGTGGAAATATTCTTTATAATTAAACCCAACGGCACAGAATAAGGCAGAGAAAATATTTATTTTCTCAGGTGTTTGAACCGACTAAAGCATTAATCATKAAAAAAGTGCTGAGTAACAGAGCAAAGCTTCTGTGTTGAGTCGGCAAAATAAACAAGAGCTTTTATTGTGGTAAGGTACTTCTAAATGGTTTTCAATAAAACGTGGGGAAAAGCAAACACTTAATTTATCACAGCAAAATGTAAATACCAACAMCTTTTCCTAGTGTCTACTTGTAAAAGCTCCATAAACCTAACCAGATCAAACTGTTTAAATGTGACCCTTGCATCAAGTCACACATCAGCACTGTAAATCAGAGCTTCACATGTGGAAAATTCATCATCATAAATGTTATTGGCGCAAAACAAAAACTCATGAGGCTGAATCGCCCCGTTCATGCCCTGCCAAAGCAAATACCAACTGCATCTGAAGTTACACTGCATTCAAACACACCTCGTAACTCACACAAGCTCGTCACAAATCACAGGACTGAATGAATGAATGAATGAATGAATGAATGAATGAATGAATGAATGAATGAATGAATGAATGAATGAATGCTGAGCGGTGATTAAAACTGAAAGTCAAAATGTTCAAAAATCATTCATATCAAAGGTTTTTTCCTTAATCAGCCTAATTTCTTCTTTCCTCCAGGTTTTGGTTATGTTTTGAAAATCCATATAAGTCTCTCAAAACTAGTGCTGTACCAAACGATTATTTTCTAATCGATTAATCTAACGATTATTTTTTC